GACACATCAAGTTGCAGTAAGGCTAGGCCCCTCCTCTCCTATTAAGGCAGGACAAGGCAACCCAGTAGGAGAAAAGGGTCCCAACGGCAGACAGCAGAGTCAGAGACACACTGTTCCCACTGTTAGGATTCCCACATGAAGGCCAAACTACACAACCATAACATATGTGTGGAGGGCCTAGGTCAGTCCCATGCAGGCTCCCTGGTTGGCAGTTCAGTCTCTGTGAGCCCCTTTGGGCCCAGGTTGGTTGATTCTGTGCTTCCTGACCCCTCTGGCTCCTACAATCCTTCCTCAATCTCTTCTGTGGGATTCCTCAGGTGTCACCTAAAGTTTGGCTCTGGGTCTCTGCATCAGTTCCTGGGTGACAGTTTGGCTAGATGCCAGTCTATGAGTATAGCAGGTTATCAATAGGAATCATTTCATTGACTTTTTTCTTTTTTGACAGTCCTATTAGGTTTTATCCTAGGTCTCTGGGATATCCAGCCCCTGGTTCCTTGCCCTCTAGGCAGCGTCAGGGGGAGGCTCTCTCTCATGACATGGGTCTCAAGCTGGACCAGTCATTGATTGGCCAATCCCACAATTTCTGTACCACCTTTACCCCCAACACGTCTTGTAGGCAGGATAACTGATAGGTTGGAGGTTTTGTGGCTGGGTTGGCGTCCCAGGCCTCCACCGGATGTCTTGCCAGGAGATGGTCAGTTCGGGCTCTGTACCCCCCCATTGCTAGGAGTCTTAGCTAGGGTCACTCCTGTGGATTTCTGGGAGTTTCCATTGTCCAAGGATTCTGGCTTGTCCCCGAGATGCCTCCCCATTCATCCCACTCTCCAGGTACCTTCTCCCTCTTTATTTCCTTTTCTACCGAGAGCCTGTCTTGGCCTTTGCTCGTGTTTTTGCTATATTTTTGTGTTTTTCTTATTGATTTGGGGCCTTTCTGTATCTGTCCTTCCTTTGTTGTGTATGTTGCAGGTTTTCTCACAGTCCTCTGCTTGTGCTTTGACTCTAGTTCTCTGTCTTAGAGATAACCACTTTCTTGTCCTGTGATGGCCTTGCTGAAGTTCTTTGATGTATCCGACAGATCATCTCCAGGCTTGCAGCGTGTGGTGGAGTTGGGACAGGGACGAAAGACATGGGCTTGCCCAAACCTCATAGCATGACCCTGTCTGGGCCTCAGTTTTCATGGCAATTAAGGGGACTTGTGGTAGTTGTTCCTACACCACTGAGTTACTGTGGAGATCGGAAGTGCCCCTGGCAGTGGTGTGGTGAGATGATGTAATGAGACAATGACAATGTCCACGGGTTGGGCCCTTAGGGTGTCTCGCACTCAAGCCCGAAGGACCTGCTCCTCAGTTCCCAAACTCCGAATTCCCATTTAGTCACTCTGCACATCTGCTTTCTCTGGGAAGTCCCTTCCATCCTCTTCAGTCACCTCCTTTCCCTAAGTCTTTCAAAATTCTTTAGTGTGCTCTCTGCCCATTGGCTTAGAACCCCATCCACACCCCACTCCTGGGTCCTTCTTATCTCACACTGTGGCCCTGAGCTGCTGTGATCTGCGGTCTGGCTGGTCTTGTCAGCTCTTCTGGAACCTGGGTAGGTTCCTCCACTGCAGCTGCCGCCGCCGCCACCACTGTTCTCTCCTAACCCCACCGCACTAGCTCAGCCCCAGGATCTCACTGGCCCAGAGGCCCACGTTTCTCATTAGGCCACACAGAGGGACAGGAAGTGTTGAAAGAGTCCCCAGATGCTGTACCAGCTTACATGTCTGCATGCTGTTAACGCTGCAGCGATCTGGGCAGCCTCTCTTGAAACAGAGATCACTAGCTCCAGGCTCCCGGCCTTAGATGGAGTTGAGCAAGTCCTGCAGATTTGAGCCAGCTGTCTGTCTGCCTCTACCCAGCCCCAGGTTCCTGCCTAACATCTAATGTTTGTCTGGCTGAAGTTGTGGCAGGCATGGTCTTTGCATGGATGAAACTAAATTAGTGACCCCCTTGACAAAGCTGTCTTTTCCTGACCTCTGACTCTTTGTGAGGAAACCACATTCCTTCTCTTTACAAACTGGACAAAAAGGATCTCGGGGGACCAAAATAGAGAGTTGATGAACACCTTCTGGCAAGTCAAGCCCAGATCCTTGGATCTCAGTGTGGCCAGATTCTGGGTGAGGCTTCAGGGCCTTTTGGGCAATCTCAGACATTTCTACCAGCACTCCCAAGCTAACTGTCCCATTTCCTGCCCTCTCACAGATTACCTGGAGCTTCCTGGCTAGTAGCCATCAAGGAAGAGGGAGATGGCCTATTGGGAGATCTTGAGCTCACTTTGTTGGGACAACAGGACCTACCTGGGAGAAGGTGACCAGAGAGGCATTCAGGGGGAACGGTGAGGACCAGGCTTTCTGTTTGCTGTAGCTCTTGAGAGTTGCACTGGAGAATGTCCAGGGCTCAGTAGGTAGATCACAGGTGAGTGGCTTTTGAGTCTCTGTTCTGCCATCTCTCAGCAAGATACTGCCTACGCCCCAGGTCTATGCTGAGGATTAAGAGCTGGGTGTGGTGGTGATCCCATGCCTATGATCCCAGCACTCAGGGAGGCAGAGGCAGGTGTATCTTTGAGTTCAAGGCCAGCCTGGTCTACTAATCGAGTCCAGGACAGCCAAGGCTACACAGAGAAACTTTCTCGAAAAACAAGCAAGCAAACAAACAAACAAGCAAACAGAGTCCACTGGGGGACATGTAATGCGACATAAAATACATAAGCATCTTCTTGTTCATTTGGTGAGACTGTGTAGCTCTGGAATTCACTATCTACATCATGCTATCCTCAAACTAACAGATTTGTGTTGGGTACTTCTTAAACACTTTTATTTATATTTCTTTATATCTCTTTCTCCTTACTCCACTTCAGTTCCTTCCAACACTACAACACGAGGTAGGAGAGAGAAAGGGTTAGTGGGAGAGGGAGCACAGTTCTCTTAGCTGCTTCCTGCTGGTGAGAGCCTTTGGGTTTCTTGGAGCCAGTCCAATCCTTATTTCAGGAGATCTCCAACTTCTAGTCTCACTGCATCAACAGCAACAGGAGCCTCAGGTGGGAAGCAGCAACAGCCTTGTTCTTTCCCAGACCTTTCCACACTCTCTAGGCTCTGACATTTATTCTTTCTCCAGAGTGCTCAGATTTAAACTATCTGCAGCTGGCTTAGAGCTCTTCTCAGAGCCCTCATGAGGCAAATAGTTTGCTGCTGCGGACTATCTGAATCAGTCCCATATCCCACACCTGGAATTAAAACAAAAACATGTTTATATCCACAACAGATTTGTCTGTCTCTTCCTCCTGGATGCTGGAATTAAAGGTGTGTGCCACTATGCCCAGAAGCAATTCTTTCTTTTCTTCTCTCTCTCTCTTTCTCTCTTGTTTAGTTTTTAAAGACAGGGTTTTTCTATGTAGTCCTGGCTGTCCTGGAACTCATTCTGTAGACTAGGCTGGTCTTAAACTCAGAGATCCACCTGCTTCTACCTCTCAAGGGCTGGGAGTAAAGATGATATGCGCCACCACTGCCCCGCTCATAAGTAATTTGTAAAAAAAACAAAACAAAACTCTTTTTATTGATTCTTTGTGAGCTTCACATCATGCACCCCAGTCCCTCTCATTTCCTCCCCTCATATTCACTCTTCACTTTTGCAACCTCCTCTCCAAAATAAAGTGTGCCCACGAGCTTGCACACACACACACCACCACCACCACCACCACCACCAAAGCATAGAAAACATCTCATCATGGAAGCATAGTGTGTCACAGTGTGTCCCACAGTATATATTTTGTCCACACATCTTCACTTGCAAATGTTCATTGCAATGAGTCATTGGTCTGGTCTGAGATCTCTGGCTTCTGTGACGTTAATATTGGATCCTCGGGCTGGAGAGATGGCTCAGCGGTTAAGAGCACTGTCTGCTCTTCCAAAGGACCCAGGTTCAATTCCCAGCACCCAAATGGCAGCTCACAACTGTCTGTACCGCCAATTCCAAGGGATCTGACACCTTCACATTAATGCACATAAAATAAAGTTAAATAAATTATTAAAAAAATATTGGGTCCTCATAGGGACTGCTCCTGGCTATCCTGTGTCATGGAGATCCTGCAACTCTGGAACAGCAAGTCTGGCTCTTTCCTGTGCTCCAACCGTTCGCAAATGATATAGATTTTGGGGTGGACCAACTCAGAGCCCTGGATCTGGGCTTGGGTGGTGGCTGAGCTGGTCAGCCTGATGGCTCTCCCTTACTCGCACCACCAGGGCGAGCTCTCGAGTGTTGCTCCAGCTAGGCCACCCAACGCTGCCATTGGCAGGAAGCAGGGTCAGCTCTCTTGTCCTCATGCTCTCAGAGCTGGCTCACCTCTACCCACGCCTCCAGGGCCAGCCCCACTGTGCTACCTGGGCCAGGTGCAGAGCCCATTCTCCCGAGTGCTGCTGCTGGTGAGAGATGGGGCCAGCTCTCCAGGGCAGAGCAGCCAGTGAGGGGCCAGGCTAGTTATGCACAGTCTCTGGACATCCACATGGTCCCCAGCAGACACCCTGACCAGGGACATCCCCATGTTCTCTAGTGATAATATGAGCCACAGGCATCAACACCAACCTTTGCCACTGTGTAGCCATGGGCTCAGAAGTGACCTCACCACGGCCCCAGGTGGCAAGGCTGGCCACTCCCAGCAGGCTACTCCTCTTCTCCAGTTCCATCTCTCTTCATAATGCTCAAGATGCTCGATTTCTCTTTCTCAGCCATCTAACCAGCACATAATCACACACTGTGGTGGCCCCTGCTGCAGGCTGGACATGTGGCTGGAGGGACCCTGGGTGACATCCTCCATCCATCCATGCTACGAGGCATGGTCACAAGCTGGTGTCTGTGGCCCGCCTTTGCCGAGCACTGGAGGGCAGGGCTGTGAGTGGCGTGGAGGTCCACAAGTCTCTGTCTGTCTTCCTCTCCTGTGCTGCACTGCCTGGATTTGATTTGATTTGATTTTTATGAGTCATAGGCATGAAATATAGCTCTGGCCACGAAACCAGGCGTCAAGCTAGGATGAACAAGGACTGCCATCTGCTCTGACCCTGACTGATATAAGAGCTCCACCACCAATGTCTCTTTGCCCATTGCCAGGGGCGTGGGGTCAAAAGCAACTCAGAAAATCCAAGTGTTTATCAGGGGCCCAAAGAATAGAGCCTATTACCTTAGCTCCTGTTCAAATGTGTGCCCGTGTCTGTGGCTGCTGTGTACTCTGTATGTTCATGTGTGTCTGGTGTTTTCACAGGTGGAGGATCATGACAACACCTGTGTAAACCCCTTAGGCACGTCTCCTGGAGAGCCAGTACTCAGAAAGTCAGGTCTGTAGAGAATCTGAAGTTTGCCAGTACGTGGAGGAAGGGAAAAATAGAGGGAGGACACAGTGGGAAGGAAATTCGGACTAGCTTAGTCTAAGTAGGGTGCCGATGTCAGGGTCTGCTAACGTCCTGTGCTCCGTGCCACACAAGAAAGTACTGACCGAGCGCCCGGCAACCATGCCCCATCCCACACATGGAGTCCGCAGACCTCAGAAAGCGCAGGCTCAGAGCTGGGCAGAGCGTTTGTCTTTCACGTCCCAGGTTTGATCTCTAGCACCACAAGGACCGGCCATGGTCATGCCTGTCATCTGTTCTTAGTAGGCAAAGGCCAGCAGATCAGGAGTTCAAAGTCACTCTTAGCCATACGAAGAGTTTCAGGCCGGCCCATAATACATGCTCGGAAAAAAAAGAAAGAAAACCCGAGTGTCTGGCACCGCCATGCGCTGCCTCTCTTCCTTTACTCATGGCCAGGGGTCAGTTGCTCGGGCTGGCTGTGATCCGATACTCCTCTAATAGGAGGTATATTTATGAGTTGCCATAAAAGGCACTGGTACGCTGGTGAGAGAAAGCCTCCCAAATTGCTATAAACCTGCTATTTGCATGTTTATGACCTCGTTCACTAGCCAGTGGCTTACACATTCTGGTGTCCTAACACTGCACCTGGAGGTGGCATTCCCATCGAGACGGATGAGCAGGTGCAGGCCCAGGGCACTGCTGTGGAGCCTGAGACGCCCCTCTGGGAGCACGCCCCTCTGGGAGCACACCCCTCTGGGAGCACACCCTGGACACCGTACACGGACTACTAGGTGACTGATTGGACTCATGGCATATAGCTATTGACCGCAGCAGACTGTCACTCTGGGAGACCCCTTTGTGCCTTTTCACTGTCAATACCCTTTGCTCCAGGAGTACCCACCATATGGCCTCGACTCACAGAGGCCAGTTTTACTGCCCCGGGATTTCATCTAGTCAGCTCTTCAGTACTTGTCTTCTTTGAGCAAAATGACATTGTTTAGATTCATCCTTTTTGCCCAGGTGCTCCTCCGAGTCACCTTTCATAGTCACAGCCGTCAGAGTAGGTGACCCACACTTGGATCTAGCCTCCTGCTGTCTATTCTGGATGTTTGTTAACAGGACTGTTCTGAATATCCCTGTACGAGTCTGGGTATGTGGATGTACAACTGCTTATGCGTGTGTGTACATCTATAATTGCATATTCACACGTATGTGCATGCATGTGAGTGCATGTACGCATGTATGGGCCAGAGGTTGACATCAGGTATCAACCTGATTGTTGTTCTGTGCCTTATATTTTAAACTCGCTGACTCAGCTAGTCTAGCCAGTTGGCTTGCTTCTGGAACCCCATCTCTGCCTCCCAAGCACTGGGCCAACATACTGTGGGTGGGTGCTAGGGATATGAAATCAGGTTTTCATGCTTGTGTGGCAAGTGCTTTTCCCACCTGCTCATCTGGCCCCTTTGAAATAGTATTTTTATTGACTCTCTGGGGATTTCATATATGTGTAAATATTTTGTTGCTGCTTTGAGACGGGGTTTCTCTATGTAGCCCTGGCTGTCCTGGAACTCGCTCTGTAGAGCAGGCTGGCATCGAACTCATGGATCTCCACTTGCCTCTGCCTCCCAAGTGCTGCAATTAAAGACATGCACCACAGCACCTAGTAAACAGAGTGCATTTTGACCACATCCTCCTTCACGCCCCCGCTAACTCCTCCAGGACCACTGTCCCATCACATGTTCCCCTCAGCTTCACAGTTTCTTAATTTGTTTTTTTTTTTTCTTTGTTTGTTTTTGAGACAGGGTTTCTCTGTGTAGCCCTGGCTGTCCTGGAACTCCCTTTGTAGACCAGGCTGGCCTCAGACTCACAGAGAGCCGCCTGCCTCTGCTACCGGAGCGCCACCACTGCCCGGCTGAACCCACTGAACCCCCTTAGTGCTGCCCAGATGCACCAGATTATCACTCCATCCTCTGGAATATGGACAACTTATCAGTAGCCACAACCCAAAGGAAAAAGACCCTCTCCCAGGGGTCACCAACTGCCAACAGCTCCTACACTGGGGGTGGGTCTTTATGAACACTTCCTCCATCCGTGCTGGAATTGTGACTGGAGATTTGATCTTGCGTAGGTCTTAAGCAGGGAACCATGGCTAGTGTGAGTTCATGAATGAAAGGTCATGGCATGTACAGCACCTCCCTCTATCCACCTTTTACAGTTTTTTTTTTTTAATTCTTTCTTCTGTGATGTTCTTGAGTCTTGGGGGAGTTGCTATCTAGGGCCTTATCTGTATTAGGCAAGCACCCTAACAGTCAACCACATCCACCATCTTTTAAATCAAGAATGAAAATTTTGAATCAGGGTCTTGCTATAGCTCAGGTTGGCCAGGGACAAAGCCATCCTTTCTAAGTAACCCAAGTAGCTAAAATTCTAGCCCTGGCCACCTGGCTACCCGCTGCACATTGGTGTGGTACTGATTTACTGGGGACATTCCTCTGCCAGCACTCAAGAAACCTGGTATCCCAGCACTCTGGGAGGCAGAGGCAGGTGGGTCTCTGTGAGTTTGAGGCCAGCCTGGTCTATAGAGGGAGTCCAGGACAGCCAAGGCTACACAGTGAAACCCTGTCTCCAAAAACAAAACAAAACAAAAAGAAAACAAAAGCAGAGAGAGAGAAAGCTGTATGTGTATGAAATTTGTGTTTTGTTGTCTGTAAATTATGCCTGGAAAACGAAAGAGAGTGTTGGAGAGTGTTGGTGACTGTGCTGGTGGAACAAAGCGCCACAGGGGGCACCTTTGGCATAAGGGCTACAGTCTGTGTTGTCTAGTTCAGTCACTAGACACATTTCTCGTGCTATTTAACCTAGATAATCACGAAAAATAAGCTCACTCTGTGTGTGTGTGTGTGTGTGTGTGTGAGAGAGAGAGAGAGAGAGAGAGAAGGGTGTTGTATATGTGGGCACATGGACATGTAAGCATAAGCACGAATGTACAGAGGCCAGAGGATAACATCTGCTGTTCCCCCCCACACCCCCAGGTGCCATCTGTCCAGTTTTGTGTTTTATTTAATTAATCGACAAATACGTTTATTTATTATCGTGTGTCGTCATGACACACGAGGGATGCGCATGCTACTGAGTATGTGTGGTGATCAGAGGACAATTTTGTGGGGTTTTCTCTTTCCACCTTCATGTGGATTCTGGGGATTATAGCTAGCACCTTTAACCTCTGAGTCCTCTCACTGGCCTTTTTACAAAGACATTCTCTCAGTAGCCCAAAACTCACCACGTAGGCTAGGCCCAGTGATTCCTGTCTCCATCTCTCTAGCCCTGGGATTAAGAGTACATGCCACTGCCTCTAGCTTTTTCTATGGGTTCTGGGCGTGAAACTTGGGTATTTGTTCGTTTGCCAGCTGAGCCAGCTCCCAGCACCCTTAGTTAGCTTTACATAGAACCTGAGGCCAGTCTGGACATCCTGTCTCAAAAAAAAAAAAAAAAAAAAAAAGTAAAGATTCATGAGAAATACATGGGGAAAATGTATAATGTGTCTATCAATTCTCTCTCTCTCTCACCAAATACAAAGACAGGGATGTGGGTACAAAGTTGGGTTCACTGGCTTGTGGTACTCATGGATGGAAGATGGAATTTGAGAGCCTGTGCCGTCCCAGTGTGATTGAGTGGAGATGGAGCAAACTAACTACCTACCTTAGGAAGACAAGAAAGGAAGTGGGGCAAGCCAGTTTTCCCTTTCCCTCCACCTTCCCCCTTTCTTTCCTTTCACTTCTCCTCTCTCCTTTTCCCTTTCCTCCTCTTCCCCTCCCCTACTACAGCTCCAGTGCTGAAGTGAAACTTAAAGCTTTGAGCATGCAGGGAAAATTTACTGCTGACCTATGCCCTTAATCACTCGAGCCAATTATTTTTTAATTCTATTGTGATTTATAGTTTGCAGAGTGTTTATAAACATTTTGTTCTTGGATTATCAGGACTTGGCAAAGTAGGAGGGTTCATCCCTGTTTACAGAGATGAGGAAACTGAGCTCCCACAAAGAGAGTCCTACAGAAGGTCTGAGAAAAACTGACTAAATCTGAACTTGACACCAAACTCTCTGCCTCCAAGCCCATTACTTTTCCACTCACATGGTGCAGACAGTGGGGATGGTACCATGTTTGCAGGTACCAAGACAAGGATATGGAGTGGGGAAGGTATCAGAGGCCATTTAGCAGTGGCCTGGGGCTTCCAGGGCAGCAGGGCCATCCAAGCCATCTGGGCATCAGCAGGGAGTGGCATGCAGTAGGCAAGACTTTTTTTTTTTTTTTTTGTAGCAATTACCTGCTCACTTGAGTGACTAGCCATGAGGAATCACTGTGTGACCCACCTCTCCTGGGGTGATTGTGGGAGCTGACTGGTCAGTGGCAGTGGTGAGCCACTGGTCATTGACAGCAGATCCTGGCAGGCTTGAGGAACTTAAGCTCTTGTGTTGGAAAGAATGTGATGGAGCAGGATGCTCTCGGTTCTCTGGGTCCAGACCTCACATTCTCGCTTGATACAAAGCCCCAACTTGATATCTACCTATGAGCAGACTCAGCTTTGGGAAGAGAGGTTTGTTTTCGTAAGATGGAAGTTAGTGTAGACGCCTTGGTCACTGAGGGCAGGGTATTGCTGGTCACCACACAGAGCCAGCGAGCAGTGCAGTGCAACCGAGCTGGGGTTGTCAAGGTTCTTCAAGGGTATGCTAGTCTCTGCGCTCTTATTTTTTCTCTCTCTGGTTTCTCAAGGCAGGGTTTCTCTGTGTAGCCCTGGCTGTCCTGGAACTGACTCTGTAGACCAAGCTGGCCTCCAACTCTGCCTCCTGAGTGCTGGGTTTAGAAGAGTGTGCCACCACCGTCCAGTGCGAGCCTCTGCTCTAAGTGCTGCCATCTAACATGGCAGATATCTTATCTACCACAATTTCTCAGGCTCAGTGATGAGTCAAACATGTCTCTTAGGGGGACTCTTGTCTTTGTCAGGGCTTAGAGAAAGGAAGAGAGGCAATGACAAATGCAGGTACAAACTGTCAATGGAACGAGCAGAGAAAGAGAAGAGACAGGGTGGGAGGGAGGGAGAGGGGAGGAGGCCTGACTCCCGTATTTAGATGGAGTAGTCAGGGGCCTAAGGAAACTACCTCATTAAAGGGATACGGAACAATGAGTAGTGAACTAGGTGAAGGTGGGTGTGAGAGGCAGGATGAAGAGTGTACCAGTGCACTGTGGTAGGAAGGGCGGTGACATACTCTCGGAAGGGAAAGGAAACTGCGCAGCGCAAACAGCTGCTGCCTGTAGGGATCAAGCTCAGACACTGGTGCAGCAGACCACACAGGTGAGTGAGACACAGCGGAAGGGTGGGCGGGGCTGATCTCACAGCATTTTGAAGTAAAGCTCTTGGGATTATACAAAGCACATCAAGAAACCTTGGAGAACCTTTATGGGGGCTATCACGTCCATAAACCAGGCTGTCATAAATTGTCCCTGTCTCTATGTGCCTCTTCCATTAACCACCCCCAACCCAAGTTTCCTAGGGAGTGGTGGAAGGCTGAGGAGCTGGGGCTCCTTTACCCAGAGATGGCTCAGTGGGCAGAGGTGCTATAGCCACCAAGCCTGATAATCTGAATTCAATCCTCAAAATCTACACGGTTGAAGGAGAGAAGCAACTCCCTAAGTTGTCCTCTAACTTTCACAAGGGTGCTGTGGCACACACTCACACCCCTACCCCCAGTAAATACATAGAACAAGTTTAAAAGTGTCGAGGAACTGGCAGCCCTGGGGCCTTGCTCTGCCTCTCGCTGAGGATGGCCTGAAAGCTCCTAGTTTGTTCTAGGGAATGCATGTGTGGCCCATCTGGAGGGACCTTGGAAGGGGTACACAGCCACACGGGTACAGCAAAAGACAGCCGTTCAAATGGGAGTCTCAGCAGCTCCTTGGGGCTCCTTGCCCTTCTTCATTAGAGGGCATGAGGTGAGCAATGGAGAAATACTAAAGGCAACAAGGGAGTTGGCTTCTGAAAATTTTATAGCTGAATAAATTGAAAGATAGCATAGGTCCTGGTGGGAGAAATGAAGTTATAGAGTATTCGATCTGCCAAAATTAGTTCCTAGATTAATGTGACTCCATGGAAGTTGCAACACTTTTTTTTTTAGGGGGGGGAGGTATGGGGAGGAGACAGGGTCTCTCTATGTAGCTAACACTACTTGTTCTGGAACTTGTACAGACTAGGCTGGCTTCCAGTTAACAGAGACCTGCCTGCCTCTGCCTCCTGGTGCTAGGGTGAAAGGCCTGCGCCACCACTCTGTAGCACTGAGTGCCCTGGAACTCATGATTCTCCTTCTGTGACCTCCCCAGTGCTGAGACTATAGGCCATACACTACCAGTCTCAGCTCCAACCTTACTGCTGCTGCTACCTTTTGCTAATTATAAGCGTTAGTGTACAAATAAATGGGTGTCACGAATACATTTTCACACATGTACTCCCTTGGAACAGAAGACATGTTTAACAAAGTAGCCAACATTAAGCATTGACTGAGAGCCAGCCACTGAGCCTGGGAGGAGGTATCACTCTGGTCCCCATTTCCAGCCCCACACTGTAAGGCCTGAGGCAATTGTCAAGGTCACAAGGCTGCTCAGAGTTGAACCTGGTTTTCCCTCAAAGCCCATGGTCTCTCTCTTTTTTTTTCTGTGTAGACTTGGCTGTCCTGGATTGTCTTTGTAGACCAGGCTGGCCTTGAGCTCACAGAGATCCACCTGCCTCTGCCTCCCAGGGACTACAGGTGTGCGCCACAGCTCCGGGCAACTCTCTTTTTCCTTTAATTATGTGTCCTTGTGTGAGCTTGAGTATGTGATTGCTGGAGCCTGAGACATTGGATCTCCAGGAGCTCAACTATAGGCAGCTGTGAACTCCACGTAGGTGCTGGGAATTGAACTTGGGTCTCCTGCAATGGCAATATGCGTTGGTAACTGCTGAGCTCTCTCTCCAGCCCCGAAGCCAATGCTCTTAACCCTTATAGGATTATCCTAGAACATGTATGGCTGTGTAAACCAGTAATATTTTAAAAAGGTTCTCATGGCGGGGATTGGCCCTTGTCAGATGTAAAAACTATCTCGAAGAATCAATATTTACAACCATGCAGTATTTGCTGAAACTAAGGTCTATAGGAGGAACGATTGTGAAATACACAAGCCAAAAGCAAAGGTGCGGCAAAAAAGCAGGTTTTGCTAAGCCAAGATCCAGAGGAGAATTATTTAATAAATGGTGACTGCATAAACAGTAAGCATTGTGATAGAGGAGGGAAATTAAGTCTACATTTTTTATCTACTTACTCCAAAGTAGAGCAAAAATGAAACTAGATAGGTGATCATAAAATAATAAAATATGCAAAGAAATTATACAAGCAGATGGGTGCATGAAAGCTCGCTTTGTTAGTATTCCATGAGAAAAAAGCCTGAGGACTAGAATGACAAATGGACTGTAAACTAAAACAAAAGGGACGCCAGGCTGGGCAACATTTTCATCGATAACAAAAGTGGAATAGCTTTAAAAGAAAAAAAAAAAAAAAAAAAAGAAAGAAAGGCATTTTTAAAGTTAGAAGAGAACTCAGCTCAAGACAATGGATGGGAACAATAGGTCATGCACAGACGGGGAAACACAGATAGCAAATGGGGAAATTTTGAGTGTATAGTCATCCAAGAAATGCCAAATAAGGTAATCTCAAACTATCAACAGGCATCATTAATGTAGGGAAGAAAAGATGTCACTCATTGTTTAGAAATGCGCGTTAATTTCCTCATGCTGTTCCTTGCTGGTGAAAGATAAATTGGGGCAATATAGGGCCATTCATATCTTTCTACCTGAAAACTTTTCCGTTCCTAGAAATTCATCCCACGTGTAGAACTCATGCACGCGTTAGCAGATAACTGCAACGAAATAAAATTCACCAAAAGTAGGGGCTGTATACTGTAAAAATGACCATGCAAACAATGCTAGCGAAAGCAGCAAATAAAAGAAAATGTGTGCTTGTAACATGTAAAGTTAAGTATCTATGCAGGTTTTGTGTTTGAGAACTCAAATTGTGTAGCAATAATTGGATATTCTTTTTACAATCTTTTCCCCCGTTACTTTGTCTTTTCAGGGGTCTTTACACTTAGAGAAAAAAAAATCATCTGGAATTTGTAATGTAGGTGTTTACCAGGGTTGCCCCGAAGAAAGTTGCCTCCTACGAACATCCCAAGATGTGTCAGTGTGTGGGCGCCTCCTCTTCTCTCCAAGACAGGAGCCTTGAGTAAGAGCCCTGACTGAGGCCATCTTAGCGGGAGAGTCTGGTCTCCTTAGCACTCCCGGTCCCGCTGCCGCCAGACTCCCTTCTGAGGGAACTCTCTGGAGCAGGTGTGTGCATCCTACCGACACCCGTGCTGGGGGAGGAAGGGAAGAGTCGCAAACCTAGATGCCCGTGGGCGCCTCCGGATTGGAGGCTGAGTCACAGCTTTTGGGGCTTCTTATCCCCCTCGGCTGCAAGGCGCCTCTTGGGCAAGCCTGGGCATCAGGTACGGCGAGGTGTCCGGTCGGACTCGGGGGAGCCGGGCGCTGGCGTGCCCTGCTGGGTGTCAAAGGACAGGTGGGGAGCTGCGGAGCCGCTGCCTCTCCGCTGAGGCCATCGGGGTGGTCACGTGCGGGCCACCGTGGCGCGCGTCGGGACGGACCGCTCGCGGACTCCGCCGGGGCCGGGCCGCCCTGCCCACCAGCCGGGGTGAGCTCTGCAAAATCCCGGCGGGGCCGGGACGCGCCTCCGGGACCCGAGGGCGCGCTCGGTCCAGGCGCCGTCGGGGCTCAGAGGCCTCGCGGGCGCCCCTCGGCGAGGTGCGGAGCGGGGACGCGAGGACAGCGGGGGCGGCGGAGCGGGGCCCGCGGACGCGTCGCCTCCCGCGCAGCTCGGACCCCGCGGGCCGGCGGGGAGGCCGGGCCGGGAGCGCCACGCGCGCCAGGCGAGGGGCGCGGGTTGCCGGGAGGACCGCGGCGC